GACATTTGCGTCTCTGTGCTAATAATGTGGTATGGCAACATGAACTTATGTACATACGTACGAAGTTCTACGTTGCAACTGACTGACTGTAAGAGTTGAGGATATTCGTAAGTTATTAGCGTTCGATTATAAATATCTTCCAAGCGTTGCTCGTACATCCTGGGACAACCGAGTAAGTAATGCTGTCGTTAGGATACGAGTATTAGGTAGAGATGGTAGATCAATAGAAGAACAGAAACTCCATGAATGGAGGTGGTTAGAACAATTGTTACGAATGCTCAAACACCGACTGCCTCGTCGAGCTATGTTTTGTGGTGTAGGAGTAGGTTGGAAGAAACCCTGGAGGCGTCCAGACCAAAACATTGCACAAATCCATGAAGTCACTGAAGTCTGGACTGAACTATGTTGGTAGATGTAGCAGGCTACCTGGTTGGGTTCCGCGAGACGATAGTAACAGAAAGTTCGACACCTTGAACGAATTTACTGCGCAGCAGTTCGATCCGTCCTACTAAAGGAGTGGCAAACGGTCAGTAAGCGTAGAGGATATTTGTAAGTTAACAGTATTCAATCATGTGTGTCTTAGAAACATTGGCCGTATACCTTGGGACAATCAAGTAAGCAAAGTTGTTAGGAAACGGGTTCTAGGTACGGATGGAATACAAATTGATGAAGTAGCGAATCTTCATCAGTTCGGGTGGTTGGAATATGTGGTACATGTGCACAACCAACGAATGCCTCGACGAGCGATGTTTCGTGATACAGGAGTAGGTTGGGTCACTGACAAGTGGAATGAGTCATGTTGGTAAGTGTCGATTACCTGGTTGGGGTCCTTGAGACGATAGTAACCGACGGTTAGATAATTTGAACGACATGACTGGAAATCGTTTGCAATGGCACCGATGCATTCATTCTTTGTGTTCTCTCAAATTCTAATTTTCTGAATTTCTCATCATCTCTATCTCACTGAATTATGCTTTTTGAATAATATCTTCGAACCCTTCGAACCATTAATACTTCTACTATCGCTACCACTATGGGATTTAAACTGACAACTGCGTCTCTGTGCTTATGTCGTATTGAAACCTGAAATTATGTACGGACGTACGAAGTTCTGCGTTGTAACTGACTGACAGACCTCGCAATTCTTCAAGTTGAATAATTGACATTCAAGCTCCGGTCTTCAAAATTTTGATGGAGTCGTTGCTATCAGACGCCTAAAACATGAATTGTTTGCACAAAAATAGATGGTTGTTATTCTTTCTTCGCTTTGATGATAAATATTCGTTTAGTCACTCAATCAGGAACAACGTATAACATGGCATGTATATACATCAGCTCAAGTTGTCACATCACATTAGAACAGTGAGATCGGTTTGTCGATTCAAATCCTATGGCTTTAGAGGTAGCAGCAGTATTAACGACAATTGAAAAGCTTAGTAATCAAAGAAATTCAAGAATTATAATCCGGTGAAGCAAATTTAAAACGAGCAAGATAACAACGGTCAAATTGAATTCAGAAGATTATAATTTATATAAAGACAAATGGATGCATATGCACCATTGCAAAAGATTTTGGGTCATAGAGTCCTAGACCTGTACCACCGATGACGATTGTTTTGAGGACCACAATCAGGTAGTCTATACCTGCTAACATGTTCCAGTTCAGTCGTTACTGACTTTATGGATTTGTGCTATGTTTTGGCTTGCCCGCCACTAGCTTTTCTAAAAGCATGTCAACGGCAAAATTAAACAAGAACTGAGAAGTGGATGTCCCTGACGGACACCACTTGAAGTAATCCATTCCGATGAGAGTACGCAAAAAGCTCTCACTTTACCTGCAGTGTTCGAGCAGAGACCCTGTATAAGGTTAATGTACTTCTTTGGTACACCTTTCAATGGCAGATACTGCCATAAAACCTAACGATCGACGAAGTCGAATGTCACTTTAATGTCGATACTACTATTGTGTGACATCTGGACGTGTGTCTATATTTTAGGATCTGACGTAGTTTGAATACCTGATCCATACCTCCACGTCCAGGTCGAAAACAAACATGGTTTCTTCTAGTTTATTCATCACGAGCTCTAGTTAGGCGTCAAATTATTATTGACGCTAAAATTTTATATACTATAATAGTTAAACTGATTCCTCTGTGATTGTCACGAGAGGACTTCAGTCCCTTCTCACAGACCGGAACAATAAGCGATTGAGACCAGTCAGATAGTATTAGGTCCAGTTGCCAGTTTCTAGCTACGATCTTAGTCAATCATATTGTTAAAACTGAACCACCATTCTTTAAAATCTCAAGGCTTAATCTGTCAGGTCCTGCTGCTGTCCAAAGCTTTAGACTGCCTGTAGACTTTTGAACCTCACTAACAGTCAGGGAACTTTTGCCATCGAAGTTAATCGGACAGGATGTGTAATTGAAGTGTGTTTGAAGGCCAGCTGACCAGCGTCTCAAAGTTTTATGCCCATCGATCCAACCTCCTGGGTAGAGAATGAATAAGATGGCCACCTTTATCCGAGTCTCAGTCAGTCAGTCAGGTGAAACGTAGAACTTCGTACATAAGTTCATGTTGCCACACCAAATTATCCGAGTCTCGCAAACGATCGGATTACAATTTCCTAGTTTCCTCGATAATTTTGAATAGTTTGCTTTCGCTACCCACCACTTTTCCCGATCATTGCGTAGGCCTCTTATTAGCCTGTGTCTAAGCTGCCTCCACTCCTCATCCTCATGTTCAGAGACAAATGGAATGAGTTTTCGAGCATCTGTCAGTTCAGTAGATACTACTGAAATTCACTGTTTCGCATAACCTTTTGGTTTAACCTACTGGTAGATATCACTGCTGTTCTCACAGCTTTTTAGGTATCATCCCATGCTGCCGCTGGGTGGGCATCGCCTACATGGCTGTCTAACATTTCTTCTAGTTGCTCTTGAAACACACTCTTAGCTTTGTTATCGTTAAATATAACTCGAAGGGGTTTTCTCGATGTATTCCTTACGTGCAGTAAACTGCAAACATATACGTGGCTGTACTAAAGCATGATCCGAGTATAAACATGTGCTGCAGAACGGGTAGAAGTTTTCTATCGAGCCTCGCCATCGGTGGTTGATAGCGATATTGTCTAGTTGGGTCCAACACTTAGTCGACTTTGGGGGTCACCATGCCAAAATGCGTTTTTCCTTATACTTAAATTTGGTGTTGGTCAGAAACAGGCAGAGCTGCAGCATGCGGTCTTAATTATTTGTTCGTTGGGTCGTGACACCATTAGATCCATCCAGGTGTTTTTCAATGTCGCCAAATCTATCTACTTGAGTATTGAAATTACCCGCCTTTACTACTACATCACAGAACCCTTAGCTTTCTATAAAATTCATCTTTTACTTCACTAAAGCTGTAATCAGTGGGAGCGTATGGAGAGACGACGAAGAAGCGACAGCGAGTGCCACTATTTTCCGAGTTCTTACTGTCCTGTTTCGTCAGACAGCGCACAAGCGACTATCTACTGGGATATAGTCTGAGAGCTAGTCCTGCGTTTGGACTCAGTGCTATACGCACACCAGTTAGATTGCGTAGGGAAGGTGAGGTGAGACATTTTTAAGGTCATTTTCAAACCCATTCTTTCTGTAGTGACAAGGCAGCATCGCTGCAGATGCTGATCGTTTGAGGGAAACACCTTAATGCTATCACACCTCTCTACAGTCAGCAGTACGATTTCTCCCTTAGACCTTAAGTTGCCGCTTTTAATTTTACCGTTTGCCAATCGACCGGCTTGGTATGGTAGGACATAAAAGAAATTGTGTTGCAGCCATTGTAGCTCGGTTGGGTCATTACGGTAGGCAAGCCCGACCACTATGTCAAGGCAGCAGATATGTTCGGGAAATATTTCTTCATTACATTAGTGACTTTTGTTCGGATTTTTTCCAACATCGTTACGTTTTATTTCGACTGTGTTCTTGATTGGTAATTTTATTCTAACTATCTGAGCTTTAATCAGTTTGTTCTTGCTAATTATCAGCGTTTATTCATTGTGTAACAACTTGTTTCTAGACCTTTTGACTTTTGTTATTATTATTGTTGTAGAATGTCCTTCTATGCGAGGCATATATTTTTGTATTCAGTTTATTAAAATCATTTACACCCTTGCTATGCTACCTAGACTGATAAATAATCATAGCGATTTCCGACTAAACTCTTCCATGTAAAGTGATTTAAATCTGATTTGTAATTATGATTTAAAATATTGCAGGTTATTAGCAGCTGACGAGAGCCAAACGAAATGGAATGAATCCATGTTATTCCGTTGAAATATTTGTTCTTGTTCCTTCAAGACCTAAGAATCGTGCATTTCATCAATCGTCAGGAAGGTAATTCTAGTAACTGAGAAAATAAACGCTCCACTTAAGTTTTAGCACGTGCTATTCTGCATCGCAGCTACAGAAATTATCAACGAGCTATTCAGATGTAGATGATCTTCGATCAACAAATACGTACTAACGCCTGTTAAATATGCTAATTCTATAAAGATCAACGCATTCAATCAGTAAAGTATATGGTGTTATTCAGATTTCGAAAAAACACTGATCTAAACTATATGATTTTGTAAATGACTACTACTACATACTTAAAAAGTATGCATATTCACTTATCTGATTTGTAAAATAGATAAACAGATTTATCTATTGGTGAAGTCTTATTAAAGGTAAGTTTTATAGATGTGGTTAACTGTTCTAAAAAACACTGAAAACATCGTGCATAAAATATAACCAGTAGTTACTATTTTTATAGGTTGGAGTAATTTAATTGGTATTTGAACTTTTTCAGATACCACAACACTATGCTTTACAGAGTAGATTATAATATTACGTGTATTATAGTAACGTGAAGAAATTGGCTACGTGATAGCTGGAATTTTTATCACAATCTTTTTTAATAAGTAAAACGAGAGATATTGAAAAATAGAGCAAGAAAACAATGTTAATGTACTACTATACCTGTGTATGATATTTTGATCGTGTAGAAATACCAACGCTTTTACACACTCCCGAACAACAGCAGCGATTACATCTGGAGCCATGACGGTCTCAGTGACTACATCTGTCAATGCACCACCATCCAGGTATTCCATTACAACCCATAGTTGATTTTCATTTCTTAATAAATAAGATTCTAAGTAATTGACGATATTCTCATGTCGTATGCGCTTCATTACAGCGATTTCAGAAACGATTAAATCACGATTAGGCTGTTTATCTAGTTTCATCACTTTGATAGCTACAATTTGTCCTGTTCTTTTATTTCGACCCAGTCGAACAGTACCTGAAGCACTTGAAAAAAAAAGACAAAGAAACGAATATGTTTAAGAAGTCAGATTGATGAAAAAATACACACACTTAACAACTACATAAATATTTATGAACACAATGGATTGACTAATTTAATATTGTACTCTTTAACAACAGCAAAATAATAATCAACATGTGATTAAGATGAAGGGGGTAGAGGGACATGAGAAAATAAAATGTTACGTTTTAGATAGTCATGGTATTTGACTGAAAATACTGGGTAGAATAAAAAAAAATTCAATTTAAGTTAAAACAGGTAAGTAATAAGCTGCTCGTTTAAGGAAATGTGAAGGTCAATGCCTAAATAAACAAACGCAAAGTCGATAGATTGGTTTTTAAAAGGAATCAGTGTCTATCCGTTCAGTTTGGAAATCTGACCAGGTGGTATTATTTTACAGAAACATGTTACACTTTCTATAAAAAAGTTAAGTCACTTGTTTCACGAAAATGCTTATCTTGTGAACAGAGTAAGAGGAAAAAACTTTTAAGAAAAGTGATCAGGTTTAGCATGAATTTCAGCACATTTTAAAATTTCTTGATTTCAGATATCACGTGCTTACTGTGTATCAAGTTAATATTGATCGGTAGAACAAATATGAACCTATTAAAACTAAATGAAACAAATAAGAAATTTTAAAAACGAAGAATGCAGATTTATTGTTGGTTTAATAAGACAGATGATAAACTGCATTGACTAATTAGTTTCTTCATGATAAACAGTGACCAGTAAGTAACACATTGTGAAGCTTTTAATAATAATTCTTTAATGAACTGGAATTTCTAGTTTAAATAGTTTGAGGCGCGAGACGTTAGTGTTTGAAATTTGCACTATATTCTACATTAGTGTTTCACAGTATTAGACCGATACTGCAATTGGTCGATTGAATTCTTCATCAAAGGGCTATGATGTCTTCGCGCAGTTCCCCATTATGATTATGTACCACCCGAACAAATGTACAAAGGGTGGCTTACTAAAATTCAGTTACTTGCTTTTCCTGCATACATGAAATGGCGAGGTAGTAAATTGTAAACACCCTTTAAGTAATAATGAAGTGGTCCTGAGGGTTATCAGCTACTTGCTATGATTAAAACAAAATTGTGAATTAGTTTGTGGAATTAAGATAAGGAGTTGGAGTCAGGAGTTAGGATTTTCATCAGGAGTTGACATCAAATTTGATGCTAAAATGCTATTCAGTCTTTTGGATGAATGGCTTTCATGAAAAGTTCAAGAGATATTACACAGGAACTTTCTACTCCGTCATTTTAAGGTGACTGTTAGTACTTAATTTAATTAGGATGTTAAGATACGAATAACTAATAATGATAAGAATATCTTACTTGTTCAATTAGTGCAAGAATCATATAAAGAGGTTTAGATAGTAGTATTTCATAATGTAACATCAGCATTAGTGAAGAACAAACAGTTGCTAATAAAGACAAATATATTTATGAGTAATTAAGGCAATTAAAGTATATCAGAACACTTTTATAACTACACATTTAGCAGATGTAATAAAGAAGTTCGAGGATGATGTATGCTGAAAATTTATGAAAAATTTCCAGCTGACTATACTACTTTGAAAAATCTTATCAAAATTATTTTTTATAATATGAACAGAAGCTAATTAAAAAGTGTCCATATTAATAAAATTTAAAGAGTGATATTCTAGTTCAATCACACATAATAGATTAAAACCATACGATGAGGTATATATTGAGGGGGAAATTAACTATTCAAGATTTAACCTAATTGTCAAAAAGGAATATATATTCATGAATCAGATTGTGCTTATAGCTTCCGTTAGGGTTAACCAACAAAACTTGCCTACTAACTTTTGGTTTTTTCACTTGAGTAGCTAGTCAAGTATGTGTATTATAGGCTTATTGGATTCGGTTGACCGCCAAAAATTACGAAAAGAATCTAAATCTAACCTTGAGATATCGTTGAAATTTTTAGTTTCTAAAAACTAGGCAACACAGAAGCTTTTATGAGTAGTGAGTAATATGCCATAAGTCATAAACAAAAGGATTATGTGGGGAGAGGTTATTCGCATGTGATTTTCTTCAAGGCTACGGATATTATTTTGTAGGCAAATTAACAAGTATCGGATACGTTACGAAACCAAAGCCAGATAAGCACAGTGATTATTCTTTTTTGGAAAAGTAAAATTTACGAGTATACAATTCTGTGTGAATAAATCATGAGAATTTTATGTGACTGGAAGATGTATACTGAAGGTTACTGCACGTAAATACGTAAACCAGGTTAAATGCAAATAATACAACCAATTATCAATAAGTAACACTTCATAATAGCCAACAATATATATATATATATATATATATATATATATATATATATATCATAAACTCATAAGCTGTGTATAATCTGATATTAGTATGTTGGAAATAGATGGATTTTACAAACTAGTAAGCCAATGGCCACGAAACTATGGTATATTATTGAAGAGAATGCATTATTTCCAAATCAACATGAGTAATTTTAACTCAACTGAACTTCAAGATTCAGTGATATAACGACAGATTAGTATCATTGCATTTTTAGAAAAATAGAGAAACTTTTTTTTTTTAATCTTAACTAATTTTGTAAACAAACTTCAAAACATAGATAGCAATGCAATGCACATTGATTAAGCGGATAGGCAACTAACTCATTAATAAAATAACATTACAAAAACATAATATCCGATTAGAGAGATTTTTTTATCAACAGCCTAACTAAAATAATAAATGTCAATAAAAATTCAGAAAGAAAAAAATAAAAAGGCTATTGTATACACACACACACACACATACAGATAGATGTCTAATCACTAATCATTCTAATTATACGATTATTAGCTAGGGTAAAAAATGTTAAATAAAACAGTTTTGTTTATTAGATGTAATATAACTAAATTTGTCTGTCTAACGGCATATCTATCTATCTTTGAAAAAAAAAATGATTATGACGTTTCTTATCTGCAGTAACAAAAAGAACTAATGGAGGTATTAGATACACAAGTATTTTTAGAGATGAAATGAATTTGAACAAATTCTTCGACTGCATAGTATTGTTGATTAGTAGTATACTCAAGTAATGAGAATTCAGTTAGAAAAAAATATGAATCTTTCATTTACAAATTCATAATGCTAAATAAGTTAATAAAGCAATGAATTCAGTTGGTTGATTAGAATAACGGATTAATTTAAAACAGGAAATACTAATGACAATCGAATGGCTTCCGTTTTTATAAGTAAAATGATAGGGATATGATAACTTCAAACGCAATTTGGAAGGAGTGAAATCAGTATAATGTGTCCTTATTGATTCTTTCAGTTGTGTACATTTTGTTAATCTATTATTTCCATTTTGAGATGATGATAATATTTGTATTTTATTATAGTTTCTATTTCTTCTGCATTTACTGAGTTTTTATGTTTCCTTCGGAACTGCATTTATGTTGTTTAAGCTGGTACTTAGTCACGGCGACAGCCATTTGATTTGTTCCTCTTTTGATTGGATTGCTTGTATGAACTGGAATTGTTGTTGTAAACGCGGCTACGTAAATCTTCAGTCCTAACGGCGTCCAATTCAAATATCACAAAACGACCCAAAGGCTTTCCCAAATCTCCTAGAAATCAGAACGTAACACCGTGGCAGGAAGATGTTTATTGGGTCGTAAACAGAAGAAGTAGGCAGGGGAAACGGAATTATTAAGTCTTCCAAATAGCGCGTATTTATACACTAAGGTCGAATAAGAAAAAGCATCAACGTCCGTGACATTGACAATTTAGGACGACCAATAGAAAAGAACATTTGAATGACATTGACCGTCCAGATGACCAATAGGAAGTAGCATTGAAGTATTTGACCCTGACGGTAAGAACGATCAAAATTTCGGCCAATAGAATTCGACCAATAGGATTGCAGTTCTAAAAATAGTATTCTTAGGATATTTGGTGAATATCCTAACAATTGTGTATTTTGATTGTGAATTGCAGAACTCTTCCAGAATTGGAAACACTTTGTGTTATAAAGCAACCAAATATTCTCTGTCGAACAAATCTGATCTATCATCCAGGAGGAATAGAATATCATTTCTTTGAATAATTGAACAGTTATTATGGAATAAGCTTTGGAAATATTGTTTAGGTAATGATGTACATTTATATTTAACATGATTATTAGGAATGTTATCCACCCAAATCATTTGTTTTGGATTTCAACTGGTCAAGACGCTTATCTAAACTACTTGGACAGTTATTCCTTAGTCCAAGCATCAGTTTGGATCCTACAAAGCATATGATTAGCATATATTTTCTTTTCGAACTATTATACGATGTTTACCTCTTTCTTAGCATAACTGATAGCAGTACTATTCCGATTGGTTTTTATTTATATTGTCAAATTCATCTCGTCGCTTTAATATAGTATGGAAATTTAAGCTAACATGCATTTTTGCCAGGGTCAATGCTGCTTAAGACTGATCAACAAGTAGCCGTACAATAGTAGTATTTTTGAGTAAAAACTAAAATTCATGTAAACTAAGCCATTATATTATTATCTAAACACAAAAATTGATAAAGAGATAACTATTGGCACAAAGGGGTGTCTAAATGTTTATAAGCCACTCAGATCAAAGAATTTGTGTGCGGGTTGAGATATTCAGTGCCCCGAACGAAGGAGGTGACTTTCTTGGGGCCCCACTCGCCAAGCTTTTGTCCCAGAGGTCTAATCCACAAGATGGCTAAGCTACGTTAAGAGATGCAGTCCAATGGTAGCCGATGATCATAAGTTCATACGCTATTTGTTCCTTCAGAATCCTGAAACCAATGTGTACTACTAGTTTGAAGTCAGGGTTCCATTTAAGCGCCGAATATTCGATTTTTGTCCTCTCAATTTTGTAAGCAACACTTCTACGGGAAAAGAGTGAGTAGGACGCCCCTAGCAGTGGATATAAACGTGTGACTACGTGAGA